ACCACAGTTCAAAAGCATCAATTCTTCGGCACTCAGCTTTCTTCACAGTCCAACTCTCACATCCATACATGACTACTGGAAAAACCATAGCCTTGACTAGACGGACCTTTCTTGGCAAAGTAATATCTCTGCTTTTTAATATGCTATCTAGATTGGTCATAACTTTCCTTCCAAGGATTAAGCGTCTTTTAATTTCATGGTTGCAATCACCATCTGTAGTGATTTTGGAACCCAAGAAAAGAAAGTCTGACACTGTTTCCACTATTTCCCCATCTATTTCCCATCAAGTGATGAGACCAGATGCCATGATCTTAGTTTTCTGAACGTTGAGCTTTAAGCCAACTTTTTCACTCTTCTCTTTCACTTTCATCAAGAGGCTCTTTAGTTCTTCTTCACTTTCTGCCATAAGGGTGGTATCATCTGCATATCTCAGGTTATTGATATTTCTCCCGGCAATCTTGATTCCAGCTTGTGCTTCTTCCAGCCCAGTGTTTCTCATGATGTACTCTGCATATAATTTAAATAAGCAAGGTGACAACATACAGCCTGACACACTCCTTTTCCTATTTGGAACCAGTCTGTTGTTCCATGTCCAGTTCTAACTGTTGCTTCCTGACCTGCATATAGGTTTCTCAAGAGTCAGGTCAGGCGGTCTGGTATGTCCATCTCTTTCAGATTTTCCACAGTTTATTATGATCCACACAGTTGAAGGCTTTGGTGTAGTCAATAAAGCAGAAATAGATTTTTTTTCTGGAACTCTCTTGCTTTTTCGATGATCCAGCAGATGTTGGTAATTTGATCTCTGGTTCCTCTGCCTTTTCTAAAACCAGCTTGAACATCTGGCAGTTCACAGTTCATGTATTGCTGAAGCCTGGCCTGGAGAATTTTGAGCATTACTTTACTAGCGTGTGAGATGAGTACAATTGTGCGGTAGTTTGAACATTCTTTGGGATTGCCTTTCTTTGGGATTGGAATGAAAACTGACCTTTTCCAGTCCAGGCCACTGCTGAGTTTTCCAAATTTGCTGGCATACTGAGTGCAGCACTTTCACAGCATCATCTTTCAGGATTTGAAATAGCTCAACTGGAATCCCATCACCTCCACTAGCTTTGTTCATAGTGATGCTTTCTAAGGCTCACTTGACTTCACATTCCAGGATGTCTGGCTCTAGGTGAGTGATCATACCATCGTGATTATCTGGGTCATGAAGATCTTTTTTGTACAGTTCTTCTGTGTATTCTTGCCACCTCTTCTTAATAGCGTCTGCTTTTGTTAGGTCCATACCATTTCTGTCCTTTATTGAGCCCATCTTTGCACGAAATGTTCCCTTGGTATCTCTAATTTTCTTGAAGAGATCTCTAGTCTTTCCCATTCTGTTGTTTTCCTCTATTTCTTTGCACTGATCGCTGAGGAATCTCCTTGCTATTCTTTGGAACTCTGCATTCAAATAGGAATATCTCTCCTTTTCTCCTTTGCTTTTCGCTTCTCTTCTTTTCACAGCTATTTGTAAGGCCTCCTCAGACAACCATTTTGCCTTTTTGCATTTCTTTTCCATGGGGATGATCTTGATCCCTGTCTCCTGTACAATGTCACGAACCTCCATCCATAGTTCATCAGGCATTCTGTCTATCAGATCCAGTCCCTTAAATTTCTCACTTCCACTTTAGAGTCATAAGGGGTTTGATTTAGGTCATACCTGAATGGTCTAGTGGGTTTCCCTACTTTCGTCAATTTAAGTCTGAATTTGGCAATAAAGAGTTCATGATCTGAGCCACAATCAGCTCCTAGTCTTGCTTTTTCTGACTGTATAGAGCTTCTCCATCGTTGGCTGCAAAGAATATAATCAATCTGATTTCGGTGTTGACCATCTGGTGATGTCCACGTGTTGTTGGAAGAGGGTGTTTGCTATGACCAGTGCGTTCTCCTGGCAAAACTCTATTAGCCTTTGCCCTGCTTCATTCCATACTCCAAGGCCAAATTTGCCTGTTACTCCAGGTGTTTCTTGACTTCCTACTTTTGCATTCCAGTCCCCTATAATAAAAAGGACACCTTTTTTGGGTGTTAGTTCTAAAAGGTGTTGTAGGTCTTCATAGAACCGTGCAACTTCAGCTTCTTCAGTGTTACTGGTTGGGGCATAGGCTTGGATCACTGTGATACTGAATGGTTTGCCTTGGAAACGGACAGAGATCATTCTGTCATTTTTGAGACTGCATCCAAGTACTGCATTTCGGACTCTTTTGTTGACCACAATGGCTACTCCATTTCTTCTAAGGGATTCCTGCCCACAGCAGAAGATAAAATGGTCATCTAAGTTAAATTCACCCATTCCTGTCCCATTTTAGTTCGCTGATTCCTAGAATGTCAACATTCACTCTTGCCATCTCCTGTTTGACCACTTTCAATTTGCCTTGATTCATGGACCTAACATTCCAGGTTCCTATGCAATATTGCTCTTTACAGCATCGGATGTCAAATTGACACATAAAATTACCCATTACAAGCCCTAAGGTGTCCATACCTCTTAATCCTCTTCTTCCTGAGGGTTAACATTTAGATAAAAATTCTGTCTGATTTAAACTTAGCCTTGTTTTTCTCCTGAGGCAATGGTAACATGACCAATTATTTGTTCATCTCCTAGGACATGGAATTGGGAAACATACAACAGAGATTAAATATTTCAACATATTACCTTGCTATGTTTCTCCTTCTGGTAAATATTTGCGACAGTGATGGTGACCTGAATGTCTCCCTTGACTTCTGATCAAAATTTCAAAAAACTAATACCATTACTTTTCCAGAGTAGAGTAGCTGACGGGTCAGAAAAGCAGGTGAACATTGGAAGGGGTGTGTGTGTGTCCAGTAGGGAAGAGCGGTTGGGTTCTGTCACTGATAGATGGAGAGTTCGGGCACATGATTTGGTTCCTCTTGGATTTATGAGACTGGGGACCAGTGGCAGAGAGCCCTGGAGATGAGGATCCTGGGATCTTATTGCTGTGGCTGCGGATCACAGAGAGCCTGTGGAAGGGAATTCTCATTACCTACCCCCCCTCCATCTGGTTTCCAAAAAGACTGTAAAGTGACATCCAAGACTTATTTATTGATACTTGTGGTGTTCAGTTCCCATCTGCCTGCTGGAATCACCCTTCGCTGTCCAAAGAACAGGTTCAGTCCCTTTAGAAATGCTGGGCAGGAGACAGGGGCTTATAAAAATCACTTTAGAAACTCCCCACCCCCACCCCGCATTCTTCTAAGAATTTTAGAGAATTGAATCTTCCATCATATTCTAGCAAGGGTTCATTTGTTCTCGCTTCTTTTTGCTGACAACCCCAATGTGGCCCAGAGGATTTAAACCACTGGGTAGAAATGCAGCTGGTTTTTGAGTATGATTTTACATCTTGCATCTTTACTGAATTTGTATATTACTAATAGCATTTTTTTTTTCTGGCAGACTCTTTAGGGTTTCCTTTATATAATATCATGTCCTCTGTAAACAGAGGCATTTTTACTTCTTCCTTTCCAATTTGGATGCCTTTATTTCTTTTCCCTGCCTAAATGCTCTGAGTAGGAGTTCCATAACTGTATTGGATAAAAGTGGTCTGAATGGGCACCCTTGTCTTGTTCCTGATCTCAGAGAAAAAGCTTTCAGTTTTTTACCATTTAGTATAATGTTAGCTGTCATACGTGGCCTTTATGTTATTATGTTCCCTCCATACTCATTTTGTTGAGAGTTCTTATAATGAATGGGTATTGGATTTTGTCAAATGCCTTTTCTGCATCTACTGAAATGATCCTATGATTTTTGTCCTTTATTTTGTTAATGTGCTATACCATACTTACTGATTTGTGTATATTGAACAATCCTTGCATTCAGGGATAAATTTCACTTGGTCATGGTATATGACCCTTTTAATGTGTTGTTGGATTTAATTTGCTAGTATTTTAAGGATTTTTGCATGTATATTCATCAGAGATCTTGACCTGTAATTTTCTTTTCTTGTAATGTCTTTGGCTTTGGTATCAGAGTAATGCTGTTCTTTTAAAATGAGTTTGGAAGTGTTCCCTTTTCTTAAATTTTTGGAAGAGTTTGAGAAGGCTTGACATTAATTCTTCTTTAAATATTTGGTAGAATTAATTGGTGGATTCATCAGGGCCTGTTCTTCTCTGTGTTGCAAGATTTTTGATTATTGATTCAATCTCCGTACTCATTAATGGTCTGTCCAGATTCTCTGTTTCTTCATTATTCATTCTTGGTAGGTTGTGTGTTTCCAGGAATTTGTCTGCTTCTCCTAGGTTGTCCAATTTGTGGCCGTATAAATAAATGTTTGTGGTAGCCTTCTATGATCCTTTGCATTTCTATAATATTAGTTGTAATGTCTCTTCTTTCATTTATAATTGAGTCTTTTTTCCTAGTCTACCTAGAGATTTGTCAAACTTTCTTTATCGTTTAAAAAAAACCAAAACCCAGATCTGAGTTTCATGAATATTTTCTATTGTTTTTCTATTATCTATTTCATTTATTCCCACCCTCATCTTTATTCCTTTTCCTAACTTTAGTTTATTCTTTTTCCATTTCCTTGAGGTGTACAATTAGCTTGTTTGAGATCCCTTCCTTCCTCTCTCTCTTTGATAGGATGACCTAATTTTATTTTTCAAATTTCACTTTGTTGCACAGAAACTAATACAACATTGTGGAATAATTTTACTCTAAAAAACAAGAAAACCAACCCAAAGTGAATTTCAAAGGAGATCTGTGCAGCGGGTAGTGATTAGTTAATTTACAGAAGCTCGGAGTCACAGGCCTCCCCAGACCCTCTTCAGTCTGCGCTCAGCCCCACGCCCCACCCGACGCCCTGGACGCTGTGTTGTGTTGGGTCGCCCGTCCCTGCAGTTGGCCGATGGGTTTTCTCGGGGGCACGCGGGTCTCCGACCGGGCACCAGTCAGGTGTGTGCTGGCTGCAGAACCCTCGGCCGTCAAGCCTGCCGTGTGGTCTGGGAGGCGGTCACCACGGTGCTGGGAGGATCCGGGCAGGAGTAGCTTCTCCAGGCTGCCATTTCCAGGGCGTCGGACTCCCGGGCCCGCCTTCTTCCGGGGACGCCCGCCGCGAGCACGTGGCCTGTGGGGGCCGGTCCTTCCCTGCAGCTGCCAGGCAGCTGGGAGAGGCGGTGGAGGGCGGACGCGCACGGGCGACGGTTGTTTCCTGGGGAGAAGGGCAGGGGACACGGAGCGGTGCCTGGACGCCGGGCCTGCGGCCGCTAAGAAGGCATGCACACCCCTGAGCCTGCTCTGGGCGCCCCGGGGGTCGGGGGACCCTGCTGCACGAGGCCGGTGACTCTGCGTGCGTGCGGGAGGCAGGCGGAGGTGGGGTCCGGTGGGCGAAGAGGCCGCCTGTGCCCGGGGTGTGGGCTCTGGCCTGGGCCCAGGTTCCGGGGATGACCCAGGCTGCGGTCCGTCTTCGTGGCTCCCGCGGTTGGAGCAGGTGACACAGGGCGTGCAAAGCAGGCCGAGGTTTGGGCCCGGGGAGAAAGGAGGGCGTCAAGGGGTCCCTCCGAGGTGGCTTCGGCAGGAGCCATGCTGGCATCTCAGCTCCGCGGCATGTGTCCTGCCCGAGCTGGTCGTGGAGAACGGGAGAGTCAGGCACGTGAGGCCCCGAGCACAGCGCGGGCCCGGCCCCCCGCCGACCTGGCCCCGTGTAGCTGGCTGCAAGGTGACACCATTTCCGCGGTGGTGGGACCCACAGGGTGGAGGGGTTAGGGCCGCGGGGCTCCGGGACCTCCTTCCCAGCCCACACCTTCCGCCCTCCAGCCGCATCCTCCCGGGCCCTTTCTGCTCGTGGGCCCAGAAGGGGACCACCCCAGTCCTTTCCGATGTGCTTTCCTAACTGACTTTCAGGGTGGGGAAGCTGTGGTCAAGGTGTCTTTCCTTCCAGAAGCTTCTGGGCGCCAGGCCTTTGATAAAACTACAGGGCCTGGATGGGGCGGGTCTTCTGGGAAGATGGAGGGGGAACGTGGAAGACGTTTACAGATTTCAGCTTTCTGCGGAAGAGCAGCTCACGTGGAAGCGATGCGCCAGCTAAGTGGTCTCCGAAGGGGTTCCTTGTGTTTTCAGTGGGCTGATATCATCAGATGAACCTTCTGAAAGAGCCAAGACTCAAAACAGAGGTGGAAACGCATGTGTGGGGTGCAGAGGACCCTGGGGAAACGAGCTGGGCCACCACAGATATTTTGAGGGTGGCCAGAAAAGTGCTTAGCTGGGGGCATGGGCTGATAGGGTGGCCTTTGTGGAGAAGGGTGGCAAGTCTCCACTCTAACCGCTTGCCGTTTCTCTCCCCAGGTTCAGAGGGCTTATCTTGAGCAAGACCGTTACCTAGCAGAAGTGCAAAGGCATGGCCGTATTTGCTCTCATCATGTGTGGTAGGTTTTGCCAGTCTCATCACTTTTTCTTCCAGGTGGTGGGGCTGAGACAACAGCTACTTCAGGAGTTTGGCCCTGGCCAGGGAAGGCAGCTGGGAAGCTGAGCTAGGGCTGGGCTGCTGTCCCCAGATGGAAACAAAAAGCCCTGCCTGGGGCTCCTCCAGCTCACACCTGCCCTCACAGACACCCAGGACCAGAGCTGATCCCACGCCTGCAAGGGTTTAACCTGGGATCTGCTGGCGTCTGAGGCTGAATGTGGCTTCAGACTGGGGTGTTGGCCTCTTGTGGCTTTTCTTTTACTTTAGATTCACTGACGACACTTAGAACTCAGACAGTTACACGTGAAAATCTGAATTCCCATCTTCTCCTTAAAAAGCCAGGCTGTGACAGTACCGGTTCATGTCCGGGGAAGCAGGAGTCAGCTGCCACCGGGATGGGTTCTGTGTAGTTTGCCTCGATCCCCTCCAGCCTCTGTTGTCTTCTCCTTGACCCTCCACTGGTTCAACTTCCAGGCCTAGGCCCTGTGGGCATTTGTGGTAAGGACCCAGTTTTTAACCAGAGCTTGACTCATGTCCAATTTCTGGGAAAGCTCTGTAAGTAGGACCTGGGGCTCGGAGAGGAGCCAGGGTGATAGCTCACTGCCCAGGCTCTGGCTGTCCGGCCCTGCATGTCAGTGGGTCTCGCTTCAGATCTGCACCCCGGCAGGATCCAGAAATCCTCTCCTGGTCACTGCAGGGGGGATGGCAGCAGTTATGGCAGGCCCAGGGGGCCACAGGTCTGGAGAGAGTCCCTGGGGGTGCCCTCCTCAGCTGTCTGTAGGGGCTGAGTGAGCAACTGGAATGAATGGTTTACGCAGGGGAGGCAAGCTGGGTGGTGGTCAGCAGTGGGGAGCAAGACAGAATGCAGAGTGGGTTCCTGGCTGACTGGCAGGGTGCCCAGTAAGTTGCTAGTTGATGGAAACCAAGGTCGAGAGTTGCCAGAGAGTATATTTATATCCAATTGTTACAGCACTGTTTGTTGTTAAGACTATCCTTTCTGCATTGTCTGTGTGCCTTTGTAAAAATCCAGCTGTTCATATATGTGTAGGTTTTTTTTTCTGGACTCACTATTCTGTTTGTCTGTTTTTATAGAAAGCCATGCTTATTTGATCACTCTAGTTTAAAAGAAAAAAAACTCTTAAAATGAATTATGTTAGTTCTTCAAATTTGTTCTTTTTCTAAGTTGTTTTTGGTTATTCTAGGCTCTTTATCTTTTCATATGAATTCTAGAGTTACCTTACCAATGTCCACAAAAATGTCTGCTAGGATTTTGATTGAGATTGCTTTGAATCTGCAGATGAGTTTGGAGGAGAATTGATGTCTTAACAATACTGAGTCTTCTGACCCATGGTCAAAGTATAGCTCTCCACTTGTTTAATTCATCCATAATTTCTCTCAGCAACATTTGTTTTCACTGTTTGGGTCTTTCCCATCTTTTTCTGGTTTATCCCTAATTAATATTTTACCTGTTTTAAGTGATAGTTTTAAAAATTCAGATTCCAACTGTAGATAGCATATACAAATATAATTGATTTTTTTGTGTTGGTCTTGAATCCTACACCTTTCCTATACTCATTTATTTATTCTAGTAGGTTTTTGGTTGATTTCGTCTTTTTCCAAATAGGTTATCATACTATCTGTGAATAAAGATTCACATCTCCCTTCTTCCTTTACAATCTGGGTGCTGTTTATTTCTTTTTCTTGCTTGATTACACTGTCTAGAACTTCCAGTACAGTATTTGGTAGAAGTGATGAGAGTGGAAATCCTTGACTTGTTCTTGATCTTAGGGGGAAAACATTCAAGTTTTTCACCATTCAGTATGATGTTAACTGTTTTTGTATGTGTTTGTGTCTGTGTATGTGGATGACTTTTCTCAGATTGGAGAAGTTCTCTTCTGTTTCTTGTTTCCAGAGGTTTTTTTTTTTTTTTTAAATCAGGATTGGATGTTGGATTTTGGCAAATGCTTTTTCTGTGGCTATTAAGATTATCATGTGTTTTTTTTGTCTTCAGTTAGTTTACTATGTAACATAGTAAATTACATTGATTGAATTTTGAATGTTAAAATAACCCTGCCTTCCTTGGAAAAATCCCACATAGTCCTGATATATTATCAATTTAATATATTGTTGGTTTTGATTTGCTAAAGTTTTGTTTAGAATTTTTGCATCTATGTTCAAGAGGAATATTGGTCTGTTTCTTTTCTTGTAATGTTTTTTTCTGATTTTGTTGTTGGGGTACTGCTGGCCTCAGAATAAGTTAGCAAGTAGTCCTTTCTCAATTTTTGGAAGAGTTTGTATTGAATTGACATTATTTCTTCTTTAAATATTTGATAGAACACACTGGGAAGTCATCTGGCCTGGAGTTTTCTTTTTTAATGGTGCAGCTACTATTTAAAAAAATTTTTACTTTATATTGGATAGTTAACAATGTTTTATTAGTTTTATATGTACAGCAAAGTGATTCAGTTAAACATATACATATATCTATCTTTTTCAAATTCTTTTCCCAGTTAGGTTATTATAGAATATTGAGCAGAGTTCCCTGTGCTAAACAGTAGGTCCTTGTTGCTTATCTGTTTTAAATATAGCAGCGTGTACATATCAGTCCTAAATTCCCAATCTATCCCTCCTTCAGCGCTTCCCCCTGTCTACCCCCCGCACCCGTCTGTTACTATCAGTTCTTTCTCTAAGCCTGTGAGTCTGTTTCTGTTTTGTAAATAAGTTCGTTTGTACCACTTCTAAAAATTCCACATATAAGTGATATCGTATGCTACTTTTCTTTCTCTCACTTACTTCACTTAGTATGATGATCTCCAGATCCATCCATGTTCCTGCAGATGGCATTATTTCATTCTCTTTGATCATTGAGTGATACTCCATTGTATCTTCCATTGCACCACATCTTTATCCACTGTCAAGGGACACTTAGATTGCTTCCATGTCTTGGCTATTGTAAACAGTGCTGCAATGAACATTGGGATGTATGTATACTTTTTTTCCCCCTGTATATACAATACCTTATTTATTTAAAAAATTTTTTTATTTCATATTGGGGTATAGCTGATTAACAATGCTGTGATAGTTTCAGGTGAAGAGTGAAGAGACTCAGCCATACATATACAATGTCCGTTCTCCTTTGATGGGGTGTTTTAAGTTATGGTTTAGGTTCCTTTCACTGATAGACAATTTCAGGTTGCCATATGTTTTCTTTAATGAACTTTGGTCATTTGTGTCGTCTAAGGAATTTGTCCATTTCATCTAAGTTTTTGTATTTATTGTCATAAGGTTGTTCATTATATTTACTTTTATTTTTAAAATTTTATTTATTTATTTCTTGAGTGAGTGGCATGTGGGATCTTAGTTCCCCAGCTAGGGATCAAACCCATGCCTCCTGCATTGGAAGTGCAGCGTCTTAACCACGGGACCATCAGGGAAGTCCCCTGTATTTGCTTTTTTCCTTTAATATCCATAGAAATTTACTTTTTTATTTTTGACTGTACCATATGGCTTGCAGGATCTTAGTTCCCAGACCAGGATGGAACCTGGGTCCCAGCAAAGTGAAAATAACAAGTTCTACCACTGGACTGCCAGAGAATTCCCTGTAGAAATTTAAATGTTGTAGCTCTTTTTATTCATTATGTTGACAATTTGTGTCTTTTCTCTTTTTCTCTTAATCATTATGCCTAGAGTTTTATTAATTTTATTGATCTCAGAGAAGCAACTTTGGCTCCTTTTTTTTTTTCTATTGCCTTTTTGTTTTCTGTTTCATTTATTTCCAGTTTGATCTTTAGTATATCCTTTCTTCTGCTTAATGTGGGTTTAATTTTATCTTCTACTTCTAATTTTTAATGTGGAAAGTGAAATTGATTTTTCTTTTCTAAGATAAGCATTTTGTCTTATAAATTTCTCTGCTTTGGCGACATTCCATAAATTCTCATATTTTCATTTTCCTCCTGTTCAAAGTATTTTCTAATTTCCCTTTTGATTTTTTTTTGACCTGTGGATTCCTTATATATGTATTTAGTTTTAAAAACTTTGGGGATTTTTTTCAGAAATCTTTCTGTTATTGATTTCTAATTTAATTTTTTTGTGGTCAGAGAAAAATACTTTTTTGGAGTTGAGTCCTTTAG